AAATGACTTTTTGGTGCTCGATATATTTGTCACGTAATGATCGAAACTTTTTTGGGTGGCGATTTTACCCCGGTCGTATTATGTTCTTTTGGGAATCCGTTTTTCGGGATTTTGACCCAAATTCCTGTATTACAGCTGCTTTCGTCAGTATTACTGCTGTTTTTCATTTTGGGACACAATAAGTTACCGAGTCGGAATCAATAAATTACTGACGTCGGCCAACATCCAAAATTTATCAAAATAATAGCAACGAATTCAAAAACTTATCGAATTCGGCCGAATAATAATCGGCCAATTTTTATCAGTTGTCCCGGAATTTATGAGAACAGCTATAAATGACGAACCTAAGGATGTGTCCAAAGCTAGCTTTTTATATATAATCTGATGTGAATTCAATCTGGATTTGAATACCCTGTCAAAATAGGAACGAAACACTACCATGGGTATACATGTAAATATACAAATATAGAAACAATATAACTACTCTGCATCGGTGTCATGAGTCCGAAGTAATGTTTCTTAGCGTTAATTCTCCTGAAAAAAAATCCAAGTTTTGCCACAGTAGGAATGTTGGTAACGAAAATTACTAGTTGATCATAAAAGCGCAAGAACATAATAGGAAAAAAAAGAAAAAACACAATAAATTTCAAAAAATGTACGTCTTTCGTTTGAAAAAGCGTGTAATCCAAAGAATAAAGTTAGAAAACAAGTTCAAGTTAAAAAAATGTAATAAAACACCAGAAAATTTTGAAACAGCGAAAATAAGAAGAATTGAAAAGCAAAAGACTAAAACCAGACTAGACGAAAGAGACGAAAAAGCAAAAAAGAGTGGAAATCTAAAGAAGAATAAACCAACTCACCTGAGAATAGTTCGTTTGAAGAAAAAGGTGAAAAACAAAAAAAGAAAAAAAGATACATTTAATTTCGATCACAAAGAAAATAACAGAGTTATCTGGACTAATCTTAATTACAAGGATGAAGAGGCAGATTTGACAAAATGTCGACCACCAGACAAATTTGAAATAGCGAAATTAAAAAGGATTGAAATGCGAAAGAATAAAACCAGACTAAACGAAAAAAACAAAAAAGCAAAAAAGGATGGAAGACTAAAAGAGAATAAACCAACTCAAAAAGCAAAAAAGGATGGGAAACTAAAAAAGAATAAACCAACTCAACTGGGAATAGTTTGTTTGAAGAAAAAGGGAAAAAGCAAAAATAAAAAAAAAGATACATTTAATTTCCATCACAAAGAAAATAACAGAATTATCTGGACCAATCTTAACTACAAGGATGAAGAGGCAGATTTGACAAAATTTCGACCTTATCTTATAAAATCAATAGCTCCTTCCGGCAGAAAACTTCTTTTTGAGTTAATGACTATGACTTCACAAGATTGGAAGGCAGATTTTAAGTATGAGATAGAATTAAATCCTCAATGCTTGAAAAAAGAAAAAACTTCTTTTATTTACTTAAATACTTTAGTTTATGTGAAAGCAAAAAAGAAGAATTTAAAAAGCCTATTCAAATGTGATTGTAAAAATTGCTTGAGTGAAAAAGAATACAATTTAGTTATCACTTTGCAAAAAGAATTTCAGGGAAATAATCAAGTAAAAAGGATTGAAATAGATGGGATTACCCAAACTTAAGTTTCATCGAAGTAATCTTTACCTTCACCTTACTCTTCATTACTTCATTATTACAAATCATAATCGAATATCTTCGAATATCTTTATAAATAATAAATGTTGTAACTCTAGGGCGAATTTACATTTACTGCAAATTTAAACAATTGAGATTAGCTGTTTATAAATACTGTATCAGAATTTTGTAAAAAAAAAAAAAAAAAACTTAAATAAATAGCAGGCCCGGTAACATCTCATGATTTAACCGGTAATAGATAGATAAGACTTTTGCAAAGTTATTTCGTTAAAGTGAAAAGTAGTTAAAAGTGGAAAGCGTTACTCTGTGTGTAGTCTAATCGGATAATAAGATTATTTAAGTGCAAATTGTACTTAATTACTAGAATACTAAGTATAGTTGGCGGTGAATTTTCTGAATTACGACATTACGGCAAAATTAATTGTATTATAATATATATTTAATTACCATAAATATTATACGCAGTAATGCCGTAGCAACTCGAAAATGTGGTGCTCGGATGATATTAATTAAATGATGATAAAACGAAACAGAATAATTGTAATCGATTGTGCTTATTTTGTGATATCTAAATATATCACATTGAAATAGGTGATGTGATAATATCAGATTTAATACTGTGTATATGCAACATTAAATAAGCTGATATATATTAATATTATCGCATAGTTTATTATATTGTCTTTCTTATTGTTGTTTCTTTTTACATTTGTATTACACTGTATATACAATACATTATAGTTTTAAAATTTATAATTATTAATTTTTATTTTTAATTTTTATTTTTAGATTATATTTTAAAGTATATACAAGCAATTTAAATTTTAAAATATAAACAATTTAAATTCTTAAAATACAAGTAATTCAAGTTTTTATGACACAAGCATCCCAAATTTTATAGTACAAACACAGTAATTGAAATTTTTATAACACAAATAATTAAAATTTTTATAACACATATATTGTAATTAATTTTTTTTTTTAACACATGCAACTAAAGTTTTTATCTTAAAATATAAACAATTTTAGGCAAATTTGCCTAGAAAATTATTATAAAAATTTACTTTTTTAATTACTATACAAGCTAAAAATAAACAAATTTTTAACTAAAAAAAATATTACAATTTTTAAAAAATTTTTTAAATATTAATTTTAAATTTATAGCTCTTAATGCATTATAGCATATACAGTACGGACAGCAAAAAACATCCAATTTTTGTAAAAAGCGCCAAATTTTTGATATATATAAACTTTAGAATCTAATAACTTTTAAATTTATAATAAAAATAAAACTCTATTTTAACAGAATTGTAGCTTAGACTAAAAGCAACAAATCTGTAGAATAGATTTTTTTTAAAGTCATTTGTTTGTAAATTATAAGTATTTTTATATTTATATATAAAAAGTGGATATTTCTTGCTGTCAGGTACTGTATAAAAAATAATACTGTAATTTTTATCAAAGATATATAAAATTTTAAAAAAAAAATTATAATAATATTTTTGAATCAAAAAGCTATTACTTCAAAAATCCATAATAAATTTAAAAGTATTATAATAAAGCTTATAAAGTAAATTTCAATAAGATACTATATACTATATATAAAATACGCTGTCATTAATTTTATTTAAAAAATTATAAAAATTTTGTCTAGTATACAATAAAAAAATAGTACAACTAAAATTTTTATAACACATATAATTAAAAATTTTATAGCAATTTATATTTATTTCAAATTCAAAATTCAAGTAAAATTATAATATTAAAGCTTTATACTTAAATTATTCTTATTTTTCTATATAGCATTTTTTTAAACTCTTTTATTTTTTTAATTCTTTATTGTTACTTTTTATAAAAAATATTAAAAATATTATTTGCAATTAATAATATTACTGTATTATTTAATTTTTTCAAGACTTTTTCACAAAGTTATAGGCTAAAAATAATTGTCGCGGCTGATGCTGAAATTTTGACCTATTTTATTATAAAATTTCAAAATTTTTTGGGCCTTTTGTTAGAGGTTTTTTTAGGGCTAGGTTAGAGTTTAAAGTTTAGAGTTATTGTTGTTACAGTCGTTCTCCCATACAATTACACAGTTGGGCACATAGTAAATTTTTTTAAAAATGTGCTTATAAAGGGTGGTGCTTATATGGAGGTTTTTTTTCTTATAAATTAAATCATAGTTTGGTCTAAATAAAAATGTGATTACATATGATGTGATTGTATAGGAGGTAACTATATGGAGGGTCGACTGTACAGGTTTTGGCCATCAATTTCGGACACCCTTATCAAGAACGTACCCACCCCAATAATAAATTTCAATTAACAAGTATTTAAAAGTAGATGCATTCTTAGAGGTGTCCGAAATTGATGGCCAAAACCTGTAATAAAAAAGTATATGTGAATTTTAGTAGTTATTATAAATTTAAATAGAAAACCCAAATTTCAGCATCAGCCAGCCAATTTTAGTATCAGCCGCAACAATAATTCAAAAATTAGATTTTTTTAAAATTAATTGTTTTATTATTACAAATTAATATCGCAAATCATAACAAAATCGAATTAAAATAAAATAAAAGATTTCTATTTGACCCAATATAATTTACATATATATACTTATTTATTATAATCTATACCTAAACTCTCACTCTAAGAAAGCGGGCAAAAATCAAGGCTTCTGGTTTGATCAGGTTATAATAAATTTAATTTGATAATTCTTAATCAAAATCATCTGATTTCTGCCCATGCCCTAACCCTAAAAAATGCTAAAAAAATACATAAAAAATTTGTAGCTTGTATATTTGACACTATTACTTTTTATATTTAATCTAATTTATTACAATATATGTACTGTATGCTGTATACTATATATATAATTAATTTTCACCTCCAACCGTTATATATGTTACGCAAACAAATTTAACTATACAAAAATTTTAGTCACATGATTAGAATCTTAAGTTCAAAAATTTCCAGGTTAAAACAAATTAATTTTAACTGCAAATATATCCGGATTGGGTCAAATTAAACCAACATTAGATTTAAATGTACCTGGGTTGAATCAAACTGAACTTTGATCCAAATACCAGGGTTGGATCAAATTGAACCAATCTTATGAGCCAATCTTAGGTTTAAAATATACCGTGTTAGTTATAAAATTTTGATTGGCAGTTTGTTACTCTAATCACTTGACTAAAATTTTTGGGTAGGATTTTATCTGTGTTACATAACTAGGTAGAAATCATCGGTATTACTTAAAAATATCATAATTATTATGCCATAATGCCATACCGAGTATAGCATTACTGAAAAAAAATTTCTTGCATTTTCAATACGTATAAATTTACTCAGTTTATTAAAAAGTACTTTACTCAGCAAGGGTATAATCCGCACATAGGATATGTTGGATAACTATATAATTTATTGGTCAAATCACATCACCAGAAAATTGGAACATCTTATAAATTATACGTAAATATGATATAAACTATATCGACCGATTTGGTTTGACCCCAAATTAGCCATTCATGATTGAAAATTATTTGTCACAAAGTGAGTTCTTATAAAAACGGTTACTTTGAAACTATAATCAAGTGTAAAGAATATTGTAATATCTAAATTTGGTTAAAGTTAAAAAGGCTTTTTTTCTAATAATCACTATCCCGAAATACCCAAACGCTTTAACAAATAGACTTACTAAAACGCACCTATGGTGTTTTACACCTATGTATTTATTATCTCAAAAACTGGCTAATTAATCAGTGCAAGATGTCCTAAGTAAAAATGCTCTACGCCCCTAAAAACCTTTCCCAAACCCTAATACTAACTCTAACTTCTAACACTAACATGAAAATTTTGTGTTGAAAATTTTTATATTCAACAATTAGAAAATCTAGAAAACATAATATAACATATGTTATGTGCAAAACCACCATAGGTGCGTTTTATAATAAATGAACAAATATTGATGATAGTGCTTTCTTTACAGCTCAATATAGCTGGTTTTTTTTTTTTTTGAAATATATTGTATATTTATCGTATGGAGTTTAAAAAACTTTTATTAAATGTCTCGTTTGTTATTCTTCACGTCTATCGACCTAAAAATAAATCGGTGGATATGTTTAAATGATCTGTTTTTAGTTTAATTTATATGTTAATTAAAATTTTATTAGCTAACCCTTAATCGAATAAAGAATTCACAAGGCTAAACATAGAACATTTTAAAATTTGATTTTTCACTATTTAGGTATGAAAATTTTGCCTCTTAACCTCCTTTTATTGTGAACTGGTTCCCATTTATTATTATATCTTAAAATGACTAACTTATGTGATACAATGGGTTTAATTATGAAATACAATTTACATTTCGTAAACAAATAAGATCCCAGTCTACAAAGGTAAACAACCGATGTAATAATTATGACCAAACTGATAAATTTAGTCTAAACAAAAAGAATGAATAATTTATATGCAACTATATAATAAAATGTGACTTAATCCCTTTGTGCAATATTTAATATATGTTTATCTTAAAAGTTCATAATGAGTAATGAATAAGATTTTACCATCACGCAAATATAACTTTTTTTTTTTTTTTTACATTAAATAATATTTTAAGATTTAGTAGCACCCCTTGAACCATAGTTCTCGGTTCTCCAGTTTTCCCTAGATTTTAACTTTTCGTCTCTTTCAGGTGATGTAGCTCGCATAGCAGCTCTGCGTTGTTGCATTTCAGCCATTTGTTGTTGAACTCGTGCGATCTGTTCTTGAATAAATCCAACTGCTTTCTTCATCTGTTCAGTTACAACATTTTCAACTTGACGTTTAATACGTTTTTCCGCCAATGGAGTAAGTAACATGTACAGGAAGCTTATTTATATTAGCAACATAAAGATTAATTAATTAGTAACATAATAAAATTATATAAAAATAATAATTAAATGATACTCACTCATGTTTCGTGTCGTGTAAGCGAATCTTCAAATCGGATATCTTAGTCTCCGCCTCAAGAATACGGAATTGTGTGAACTGTGTATCTGCGTTAGGTAGATCCAAAGAGAGTTTCATGTAATACCGTAAACCATCAGCAGGAATTGCGAAATCAACCAAACCAACCTATATAACATAAATTTTAATTTAACCGTAAATCAAAGTTTTTATAAAAAATTTGAATGTTACTGTTACTCACATCACGCATTTGGATTATTCCGCCCTTTTTCTTATAATAAAACGCAATATTGCGAGCATCAGCACGAAGCTTGGAACTAATCAGAAAATGTTATGAGTATAATATTTTACAAACACAAAAAAAAAAAAAAAACCATCAAGATACATTTCAAAAACTGCAGTATTCTGCACAATATCGTTCGCCTCGCGATCCAAATTAATATCAGAAGTCAAACTAATATGAAGATGCTTGGGAAGAATATCAGACACGTGAAGTACGATATTATCGAAACTATATTCGTAATTATCATCAGAACTACTAGGGGAAAATCCGTATTTAGTAAATGTATTAAATGAAAGTAAATGATCATAGTAATAATTGTATAGACATACTTTTCTAATCGTGGCAGTGGAATAAACTTCAATTTTTCGGCCACGATCGATAAGATTTTTCCAAAGTCTTTAACTAATTCAAACTTAATAGTCGGGCGACCATTCTCGTCCAAAAAGACATCTCTAATCAAACATTCAAGGTCTCTAGCCCATTGTCGAGTAGTTCGATCTTCTTGTAAAGCATCATTAAAGGCGGATGCTTCATCAACGATCCTTTGTGTGGTATCCCTATAATTATCTAACAAGAGACAACGACCATTTTCAATGAGACGCGAGCCATGTTCTCTATAATCGGTACGCTCAACGAATTCGTGATCACGTAAAGAGGAGAGAACAAAATGTTGAAGTTCTTTAAAGTAATTATGAAGTTCTTCATGATTCTTAATTTGTGTACCCATATCTTTCAAAGCACAAATCAAATCATCTAATGACTTGTTATTGGCAAAATTTTCGATAAGATTCTTCGCATTTTCTTGAGCAATTTTAAGTGATGGAATATCATTACTGGTGCCTTTAGTAGTTGAAACAACATGACCAGCGGCCTCTTGAGTATAATCCGAAACACGAGACAAGACATCAACAAGATCGGTAAGAGCTTCTTGATATTCGGGACGATTTTGAGTCTCGATCATGAGAGTCCTAAATCGGTTGATAATACGATCACGTTTCTCGGGCGATAATTTGTAGCTAGTCACTCTGTCTTTAACAGAGGTTGCAAGTGTCTTCATTCCATCACCGGCAGCTTCTTTTAAAGATTTTCTACCTTCACCAAAATCTTTTATATGCGGACCGACGATTTCTGCTCCAGCCTTAGCCACAGGATATACACTTTGGCGACTGTGCTGTGCGACATCTTGAGCAAATTCATTTGGATCTTTTTCTTCATCTTCATGTGGAGTTTCAACTTCTTCATCCTCGCGACCAGGAATATAAACTGATAAAGCTTCTTTAATGATATGATTAATATCATTCACCAATCTTCGAAATTCTGGACTTGAAATTAACAGCTGAGGGATCTATATGAAAGACATAAATGAATAAATACGACGGTAAATTAAATTAATACAAATTTTTTTTTTTTTTTTTTTTTACTTACCAATAAGGTCTTTTGCCAAATTGCTTTCACCGATGGTTCTGCTGAAGCAAGATGTTCATCTACTCTTCGCTTCAAATCTTCTGGAATCGATGAAGTAGTATCTATAATAAAAATTAACAATTATTCATAAAAGGAAAGAAATTCATAGTATATAAAATGCATTAATTAAAAATCTACCTTTTATTTCCCTTGCTGCTTTAGCACCATAATATACAGTATTCTGTAATTCATCATTAGCATTCTTCTCGACCAAAAGAGTTTTTGTAGTTTCCAAAAATTTTTCGGCATCAGCAAACACTTTTTTGCCTAAAGGTGACATTCCACGAGCAGTTGAATGCATCGCATCAGAATCTTGAATTGATTCAATGGTCGTTGTGATTTGCTCAGTTGTCGGAATTTTTCCTTCCCTGTTAAATTCAGATAAATTAGACTACATAAATTATAAATTATTCAAATTATTTAAGAATATTTTAATAAAATACTTTAACGCTCCGGCAAATTGAGATGCCTTTTCAGCAGTTTTTAACGCATCTTGTTCAGCAGAGGTACGTGCGGGATCATTCTTAGGTGGAAGCTTTTTGCTGGACATGTTTTGTTTTTATTTACTTTTAATTTTAATAGAAATATAATTTTAATATCTGCTTTTGTGATGAGAAAAATTTATAATTTTAAGATTGGCTTTTGAGAAATACAATCTTTTTTTTTTTATGATGATAAGAAAAAAATATTTCAATCCTTTATATACGTGTGTAGACTTGATATTAGTCTATAACATTAATTTTTACGTCATTTTCGTTCATAATCTATTAAGCACGTCATCATTGGCAAAATTAAACAAATGACTTTCAATCTATGACATCGAATGATGTATTTAATACAGTAAAGGTAAGTATATTAACGATTGTAAATTGTGACGTAGAATTCTTTGAATATATGATGTCTTTGTTCGATAATCAGTAAACAGTACGTGTTCGAATATTACGTAATTTTGAATTCATATGAAAGTTTCTTCTCTTAATTATTTGATTACATTAATTGCCTAAATGATAAAAAAATCCGGAATTCTAATTTGAGTTAGATGGAGAATTCAGGCTTTCCATTTGCAACACTTAAATTTAATTTTTGTATTGGAAGAGGTGTAACGTATTCACAGAGGTAATTTCTTTGATGATGTAATCACAACTTTTAACAAATCTTTAACAATACTTGGGCTTTCAGGTATAATTTTTAATAAACATTAAGTGATTTTTACAACATTTAAAATAAATATCTATGGGGCGTTGGCGAAACTTAATTTTAATTTTCAGCTTACACAACTCTATTTAATCTAGTCAACCATACAAGCAAGGTCAAGTCGTTAACATCCTTATTTAAGTATTAACTCGGAATGTAAAGTATGTTGACTACTATCATTTTTTTAAAGTTCTTATTGCAAATTACATATCATTTTTGTGAAAAATTACATTAGACATTGTTTCATGTGATTGGCAATAAGATCTTGCAAATGCTCATGCCAGGCACATTGGGCATCAGGCCAGACTCTACAGTAGTGCCTTGTGCCGTGCTTATTCCCGTAGAAACAAAATTGCCAGACACATTATGGGCACGGGCACAGAGTACCAGACACTATTAAGGCACGGGCTCAAGGTGCCAGAGCACTAAAGTGCAAACTAGTTACATCCATACTTACAAAGGTTCTTTGGCTAAATTTTTGTATCTGTGCCCATGTCCATGCCAACCCGTGCCAAATTTTTGTGCCTGTGCCAAATTTTTGTGTTTGTGCTATAATTGCCCAAACTAACTAGTTTGAGACTTTGTGACTTTCTAAGGTATTAACCATTATTTTGGACTAGTTAAACCGTGGAACTTGTCCCAAACTTACCGTATAAATTGGGATTTGGGACAAAATTTCAGATATTAACTATTTGGACGGCAACTATAGTTTGTGACTATGCTTATGCTTATGCTTTTTGTTAGGCATTGGCACAGGCCCGATCTGTAGAATCCCAACTGGCAATAGGAAATGTTCTGGTTACTGGTAGTACTAATTAATGCTCCGCAAAATCAAATCAAAATTTGAATTTGTATCAAATATTTGAAAACATTTGATCAAATTTTTTAAAAATTTGATCAAATATTTTCAAATATTTGATACAAATTCAAATCTTGATTCGATTTTGCGGAATACTAGTACTAATAATCATTTTGGCCGATGACAAATCTTTTTTTTTTTTGGTTATATAATCATGTGATTTTGGGGTGATTCTTGTTAAGAAAATTGGCATGCACAAGATGCACATATGCAAGAGTTTTTTTTTAAAAATAAAAAAATTTATACTAGTGTACAAGTAAACTTTTTTTAAAAAAAAAACTGCACAGACCATATAAATATATATAATTTATTTTTGTATAAACTCAGCGTGATATGTTATTAAAAGGTTATAAACTTGTTTCAACCTTAAAGCTCCAACCAGTTTTCGGTCCTATATTGAGGACCGGTCTGGCCGGTCCATATATTATAGAATGATCTCATGGCTAAAAAAAAAAAAATTGCTGATGACGTATCTATAGGTTGTAACTTATTTTTTGACTCGGTAACTTGTCGATTCGGTCATTGGCAATTTTTTCAATTGTCCCAGGATTTATGATGATTGTAGGTCTTTTTTATATGTAGCGATCATTAAAAACCATATACGTAGCTTATTTTGAAAACCAACCAATAGACCGGTTTATGGACCGGTCCTGGACCACAATTCAGTCCGCGGTCCTCTGCTAGGACCGGTCTTACAGACCGTAACATCCCTAAATAATACTGTCCATCGTTATGATAAAATTTAAATAACTCATTCAAATGTCAGAATCATATTAACTAACCTTTTATCGCCGTAACTACAAATATTGAATAGAGCGAAGAATTCAGATAACAAGTTAAACAATCAGATATAATGGCGTATACTTACTATTATTATCTTTTTTCATTCAAATCTAAATGAAGCTTCTTAAGATATTATTAATACGCAACGATAACAAATATATATAATATCTTTTTATGCCTATCCGAAATAGAAATGGGTATAGCTAACCAAAATCCTTTGAAAAATTTAATTAGATATTTAAAACTTACTATATTTTGCCTACCGTATAATATTTTTTTGTCAAGTTGACACGAGTTCTTAGTCAATTTGTATGATGACGAAACCAAAAGTATTCAAGAATAAAATTTCTGGAGTTCAACTCAGATTTAATTTATGTGAAGTGTCTAAAGATCTGTATTAGCCATAACATTTTTTTTTTTAGTCAGGCCATACTGGTTATCAATAACCTACAGACCTAGCCTATACATTCCGGACCGGGGTAAAATCGCCACCCCAAAAAAATTTCGAAAATCATGTGGTATTGTCAATTCATCATTAGGATCATGATAATAATATTTAATAAAGTATTAATTGATTTTGTTTTCTTCG